ACTTCTTCAGACTAAATAACTTTTTTTTTCTTTATGGATTCATATATATGTAAGGGGACAAAATAGCAAAATACAACCAAACATTGCTTATAATCAAGCGTCAAGGGACATGTTGAAAATGTAGTGATTTTATAGGAGTTATATATATATATATATATATATATATATATATATATATATATAGGCAGCAGATTCTCTTTTAGGTATGTCTGATTGAATAAATTGCATGCATTATGTCTGCTAACTTTTAACAAAATTCGTTCATACTCACAAATAACCTTCCATGTATTGATGTTGAAGGATGAGAGAAATGTGCTATAACTGTTTAAATTTCTTTTTTCATTTCCAAAGTACTTTCAATCTTCTTCCAAAATCATTTTCAGAGGTGCAAGTAATACAAAACTATGTTTTCCATATAAGTATTTATACTTAAAGTTGGGCATTGTTATCCATTACTGTAATTTTTTCATTATTCTTTAAAATGCAAAATGGTTGATAATGTGCTGAGCTTTCATTAGAACATGAAAAAAATTATTTGTGTATGTGTGTATATATAAAAAACAGACCACTTTAAGGTTCCATGTAATAAATTATTTCACCACAGCCCTTATAAAGGGCTCTGGATCATCAGACTTTACTTCCAAAGGTTGAAATGAAAAATGAAAAGAAATTTACACATTTTTGACGGGCTGTATTTGGTGAAATAATTTATTACATGGAACCTTAAAGTGGTCTGTTTTTTATTCAAACATATTTGCTCTGAATTTACATTGAGCTCTCCAGATATCATCCTCCTTGGGTCTACCCATACGGATTACCTAGTTTTGTATAAACTAAATATATATATTTCGGCAGGAAATTCTCTTTTAGGCATGTCTGATTAAATAAATTGCAGGCATGATGTCTGCTAACTTTTAACAAAATCTGTTCATACTCACGAATAAACTTCTGTGTATTGATGTTAAAGGATGAGAGAAATATTCTACAACTGTTTCAATTTATTTTCATTTTTCAAGTATTTTCGATCTTCTTCCAAGATCATCTTCAGGGGTGTATGTAATACAAAACTAACTGTTGTTCATTAGTACAGGTATTTATACAAAGCTGTGTGTTGTTATCCATTACTGTCATTTTTTCATTACGCTTTTAAATGCACTTGTGGAATGAAAATAAAACTTTAAACAGGTATAGAACTTTTCTCTCATACTTTCACATCAATACATGAAGATTATTCATGGGTACAGATGGATTTTGTTAAAAATTAACAGACATAATGTCTGTAATTTTATTCACTCACACACACACACACACCTCTCTCTCTCTCTCTCTCTCTCTCTATATATATATATATATATATATATATATATAGTGAGAGTATAAGAAATTACATTAAATTATAGAAGTAGATATATTATAACAAAATATGTGTGCTTTGTGTATATGGATATATACTTGTATAGACATATAGAAATATACATGTGGAGATATATACATACACACACATAAATAAATGTGTGTGTGTGCACACGTTCATTTGTACAGTACCTAAAACAATATCTAAATGAAAACGTATGTGAGTATATGTTCGTTTGTACATTCAGCTGCATTTGCAGAGGAACTGCTGCACTGTTTTCTCCACCCCTGAATCTGCATACTGGTTGCTTGGCTGGGCACATGTGTCTGTGGTGGTAGTGGTGATGCTGGTGGTGGCTATGTCACCTTGTTCCTCTGTTGCTTCACTGCCATTTGTCTCATGAATCAGCACCTTCTCTTTTTCTTTTTCCTTTTCTTTCTTTGGCCGTCTTCTACTCTTCTGAACCTCTTGTAGTTGTGTGGCATACAAAAAATAATAATATAAACATGGGATGAAAAAGAAACAAAAACAAAAAACAGATGCATATGGCTTTATGCCAGGATCTGCACATGGCAACTCCTGTGCAGCTAGCAATGTTTGAGTAACCCACAAATGCACACAGATGTAAGCACTTTCTTCTCTCTCTTTCTTCTCTCTCTCTCTCTTTCTTCTCTCTCTCTCTCTTTCTTCTCTCTCTTTCTCTTTCTTCTCTCTCTTTCTCTTTCTTCTCTCTCTTTCTCTTTCTTCTCCCTCTTTCTCTCTCTTTCTCTTTCTTCTCCCTCTTTCTCTTTCTTCTCTTTCTTCTCTCTCTTTCTCTTTCTTCTCTTTCTTCTCTCTCTTTCTCTTTCTTCTCTTTCTTCTCTCTCTTTCTCTTTCTTCTCTTTCTTCTCCCTCTTTCTATTTCTTCTCTCTCTTCTCTCTCTCTCTCTTTCTCTCTCTTCTCTCTCTTTCTCTCTCTTCTCTCTCTTTCTCTTTCTTCTCTCTCTTCTCTCTCTCTCTTCTCTCTCTCTCTCTCTCTCCTCTCTCTTTCTTCTCTCCTCTTTCTCTCTTCTCTCTCTCTCTCTCTCATATGCACATTCTTGGAAGGCAGGAGAAGTGAAATCTTATTTGCTATGTAAAATTCTTTGTGACCTGCCTTGTGGCTGAGTTAGTTGCATATTTCTGATTGGTGTCAAAAGACAGGGTTCAAGCCTAGATAAAAAATTTAAAAAAATAGTTTAATTGATAATTTTCTACCTTACTTGGAATATCAGTGTAACACAACCTTCTTATCCTTGGGCTTTAACCTGAGTAAACATCAATTTATCGCATTTTTCTTTTCCTGACGGGTTTTGTTGGATAAGCTCAATGAATGATAAATTTGCATGAAGAGTTTTTGCAATACATTGTTGGAAATTGGCTACATTTTTTATTTTATATTTTTTTTTTTAAAAATGCTATAATGAAATGTTCAAAATGAACACCGAAAATGTTCCTCCTATTTTAAAATTTTTTTTTTTTTTTTTTGTTTTTGTCTGAAGATGTTTTATTTGAATGAAACCTGTGGCAATATAGATTTGTCAACATTAATTTATACTTAAATGGATATCACATGTAATTCAAAGAGAAAATAACCAAAATGTTAACTTGGAGTGACATAATGAAGATGTTAATGTTCCACACTACATCAAATCAAAGCTTAGGAAAGAAACCCCCATCAGTACTGGAAAGATTGAAAACAGCTACTGGACTTGAGAAACTTGTTTTCTTGTGTGTCTCACCACTATCTCTTTGACTGTCTCTCACCATCTATTTGTGTGTGTGTGTGTGTGTGTGTGTGTGTGTGTGTGTGTGTGTGTGTGTGTGTATATATATATATATATATATATATATATATATATATATATATTTTGAACAATAAAAAATTAAAATCTTCAGACACACTGGGTTATAGATTAATATTCTTTCATTTTTATTATTATTATTTCATTTAGATTCCTCGACTAGTTTCGGCCAAAATGGCTATCATCAGGAGAAGAAATTTTTTGCTGGTAGCTTGAACTGGTAGCAATTTTAATATATATATAAAATATATATATATATATATATATATATATATATATAATAGCTCTGTTACCATACATTGAGCAGTGTTTTATTAATACCAGCCAGCACTATATTTGCAAAATATTATTTTATATATATATATATATATATATATATATATATACACACATTAACAAGTTTTTTATTAATACCAGCCAGCAAATAATTTAGATATACTATATATATATTTATTTTTGTTTTAATTTTTTAAATAATCCACAAATCAATTTTTATTTTTGTTTAATTCAAAAGGATTAAAACAAACACACACACAAACATATATATATATATATATATATATATATATATATATATATATATATTATTTAACATCAAACCTGTTACAATGAAAATATGCTGCCTTTAATACAGACACGTATATATAATGATAAAGATATAGTTTTAAGGCATGCTGTATTTGTAAGTTAAAGTGCTTGATATCAGGGATAGTGTATGTAACTATAAAAGTGGACATTGAAGTTGGCACCCAGAGGCGACAGTCTGTTTCATGCTTCAACGCAATTGTCATGGCTTGATGATTGCGCTCAAGCATGAAACTGGGTGTTGACTTCAATGTCCACTTATAAACTGAAAACTTCAAATTCAATTATAGAATTAAAGTCTCTAATCTTGTTTCATTTTTAAGCGAATTTTAAATTTGCTTGAAAATGAAACAGGACTAGGGACTTTAATTTAATTCTATAATTGAATTTGAAGTTTTTAGTTTGTTTTTGAAACATAATTCCTGTGTAGTGATGAAACCATATTTTTAAATTAGTAAATTTATAATATATAATAAAAACATGTACACGTACATTATCAGGTTTTATAAAAACAGACCTCGATGTTATATAACAGGGCTATAGCTATATATTAGTGAATATATATGATCTCACATTCATAGCATGATTTAGAGTTTCATGCAGGTATGCAATCTTCAAGTGCAGAATACTCACTGCGCATTAGGCATTACGAAAATATATATATATATATAATAAAAAATGTAATTTTTTTTTTTTTTTTTTTCTTCAAAGAATTTTCATAAAAAAGCTAGGCTTTTACAATTGTTGGGTAGTCAGGTGTTTGGGACTCGACTCAAGAATTTGTTTTTAATTTTTAAATTTTCATTTCGTTTCTTTTATTATATTTTCTTTTGATGTATACACTATTTTTCTCTTTTCTCAAATGTTTGTGATGAGAGGAAACCTTTTTTTTTCTTCTGATATTGCTTCATGTTTGTATTTGTTTGTATGTCGTCAGGCTTACCTTGAAAGTTTGTGCTTTTTATACATTTTTTTTTTTTTGTTACCAAGAATATAAGTTTTGTAAATATACTGGAAACCAGATCTAGTGGAGAAAATCAAATTAATTAAACATTGATCTTTTCCCAGGGAAAATCAAGGCTGATGAATAAATTTTATTTTTTAAAAAAATTTATTTTTACCTGGATCCTATTTCTTTACTAGTTTTTCTTTTAATTGTAAAGAATTGTTTTCTTCATTTTAATTACTGTTCTTATTGTTATCAGTTAAGATGATAACTTATTGATTACAAACTTTATTGACTAAAGAGTTTTTATCTTTTTCCTTACCAGCACAAAGCAGACGTTTTAACCTGGTAAATTAATGAAGATTATCTGTCATAAAGATGTCAGTTAAAAATTTACCCTTAAATAATTTAAAAAAAAAAAAAAAAAAAAAAAGCACAAAATTTCTTGGCAATGTTTTTATTTTTATTTTTTTTATATAACTCTGTCAGCCATTGTTTTCCTTGAAAATACTTATTTTAGGAAGTAACATTGAAGGTGTAGCCAGTAAAAAGAATATTACGAAATAAAAATTATTTCTATATTTATAAAATTTAGCAAAAACAGTTTAAACAAAGAAATACACTCACACAAATATGTATATATAAGTTTTCATCAAAGATGTCTGACAAGGCACTGCGATTAAGCTTTTTTAACTTTTCTTGTGTTTCTACAAGTGTTTCCTTTTCTGGACAAAAAGTGTGTAAATATAGCAAATATATATAATCTGTTGGTGTATAAACCAAATGGATCCTAATAATATAAAATATTAAAACTGATCCACAAAAAGAACTCAATGTATTTATTATTACAGAGCATATAAATTATATAAAATAGAAATCCAAATTTAACTCATCAGAATAGCTATTTCAGCTGACAAGTCCTATGTTGGCATTTTCAAACTTCTGAGTTGAAAATGTCGACACAGAACTTGTTGGCTGAAATAGCTATTCTGATGAGGTAAATTTGATTTCTATATTATATATATATATATATATATATATATATATATATATATATATGTGTGTTTTTAAAGGTAAATTTACTAAATGATATTTAGTATATGAGTTTTTGAGATTACTTACAAATTTATATATATAATGTTCATGTATTTTAAATATGCTTAAAAGCATTTCCTTGGTGATTTTATATTTATTATTTTTGGCAGTTTTGTCTTAAATTATTCAAAGGAAATGGCTGTTTTATCATTGAAGGAAACAGCATTCAGGTGTGACTTGTTGAAAGAATAATTATTATGTCAGGAGGAGGGGAAGAAACAGTACTTGTGTTTAACCTAATATTGCACACAGTCTTTATTTTATTTCTTCATCTACTGAAGAAAAGTGGCAACTTTTTTGAAATTAGGGAACATCATTATGATGAACCAATCAGTGAAGAGATTTTGAAAAAAACAAAAAACCCCAAAAAACAAAGTATTAAAAACAAATCCTTTATTGTATAAGAAATCAGCTTGTCTCAGATTAATCAAAATTGAAATTGAAGTGGCAGGATGAGAAGCCAATTTTGTAAAATCAGAAAAAAAAAAAAAAATAAAAAATCCTGAAATAAATAGATCTAGAATGTAGAATGAAAATTAAAAAAAAAAAAATTAGTCATAAAAATTTTAAAGGAAAAAAAAAAAAATAAATACACACAGAATGAAGGAAAAAAAAAAGTTAAAATTCAAAATAAATTTAAAAAAATTTCAGTTATATATTTTTTTAATAACAATATTTTATCATTTTTTATTGCTTTCTATCACCACTGTCAACAGAAACTGATAAAGAAAACTTGTTAAAAATTGTTTGATAATGAAATATTTCATTTGAGAATCTCAAAATTTAAGAGTTTTAATCTTTTTTCAATTTGAATGTTTGAAAATTAAAAAAAAAAAAACTGAAATGGTAAAAATTTTAAAATTTTGTTGAAAAAAAAATCTAATTACTATATTAAAATTTTAGAAGTTTTTTAGAAATACAACAGCAAGTTTATTAAAAAAAAAAAATGCCACTCTCAGTAGATGTATAGATAGATGTATAAATATTTAAGATGGATGTTAAAAATAACTTTCCTCAGTTGTACAATCTGTTTGGAGATGGGTTGGGAGTGTGTTTATATTTTTTTTTATTTTATCTTAAGGCAGTAAAGGACACTTCTTTACCCTATACAGATTGTACGCCCAAAGAAAAACAAAATACACCTGCCAAAACATTGGTGATATCATCATAAGTAATTAAAAAACAAAAAATGAAAACTATAAATGAGATTAATTGTCAGCACAAGTCTTAGGTGTCCATTCAAATCTAACTAGAATTTCAAAAAAATCTTTATTTGTATTTATTATTTGTATTGCAATCAGTATACTTGGCTTTAAAGATATGGTAAGTGTATGAGTGGGTCAGAAGAGTTTTTGCAGCATTATCTCTACTCAGTCTAAACCTTTGACTAGTCTCCTTCCCCAATCAGTCTTTTGTGTGCAGTGCCTTCATTACAATAAAAAATACTTACATACTCATGTATTATATTCTAAGGCAATAAATAAGCAGACGTTTCATTGGCTAAATGCTCGAAGACCAAACATATAAAACTTTAGACCTAATTTTTTTAGATCAGAATTGAAATTCGCAAATTCAGCTGAAAGCAGTTGACATGCTGATTGTTCCTTTGATGCGTTTCTTGAGAGAAGGGGTCTGATAGGTTCAGAAATCTAAAACTCCCAATGGCATCAGGAATAAGCATGAATGATAAAGCAAGG